GAAAGGTCCAAACGCATAGAAAAATCTGTGTTTTCAAACGTGTGGACGTAGCCTTATATATCATGTTTAACCTGAGTAACGAAAGACCGCAGGCGGTATGAAAACAATGTGCCTGGAGTCCGGTGTTCTTGCTGGCTAGCTATCGAGCTGGGAGACAAATGTCTCCGAAAACATCAGAGCACTTTTGGAAATATGTGATACCTTGATAAACCGAACAGATATTTGAAGTTTACGCAGCTACATTCTCGCCTGAAAATATCGTAAAAGTTTATTTTGTGACTCAGAAAGAGTAATAAAAGTAAAACTAAGTATTGTTGGAAACTGGAATTGGCTGGGCCACGCTATGAATTCTGGGATAGGTTGGGCCACGAAGAAGAAGAAGAAGAAAGTGTACTTTATTGGTCCCCGTGGGGAAAATCGCTCTCTGCATTTAACCCATTCACTCAGTGAAGCAGTGGGCAGCCATTGGGCGCCCGGGGAGCAGTGTGCAGGGAAGGATACACCCGACCTCTGCTTCAAATCTGGGAAGAAGGAGGACCATTTGGAAGAGTCTATGAATTTGGACACCCAAATCACCAATTGTTGTTGAATTGTGCTATATAAATAAACTTGCCTTGCCTTACTTTAACAAAGAGCAAAACAGACAGAATTCCTGTTCCTACAACTGTGCAGCTGAAAATACAGATCTAAACGTAATACTAATATTGTGACAAAGCTTTATTTGCATTACATTGTGTATCTATTAATTAATTTATTTATTTATTTATTTATTTTTACAAGTAATGCAACCAAGAGAAGAATTTATATGAATTTTGGGGCTCAAATAAAAACAGGCACAAAAACCCCCAACCCAAACAACAAAAAACACCAGTTGAGATATTTTATATACTTTATAATATGTAAATGGCTTGATTGTGAACTGTAACTTGACAGCACAACACTGTGTTATCATTTAACACAATAACATTTAGTTATTACCTCTTTAGGTCAACAGTGGTGACGTTGAAGACAACACCTTTCAGCCACAGGATCATGAAGAGGCGCTGGGAGAAAGGACAGTTTCCAATGCTCTCGCCATCACTCCCAGCCTGTAATATAGTTTAGAGCTGAGTACAAAACAGAATGTGCATTTGTAATACATAGAGATGAATGCTGACTTACTCTTCTTTTAATGCATACAAGAATCCACTGACAGACACATTTACACACATACACTGATTCACACACTTGCACACAATGCATGCAGTCCCGATGAGCTATCAATTAATCAGCTCACTGGCACAGTGAAAGACGAAGAATCAGTGCTTTATAGTGTGAAGCGGGGGTTTTGCAGTTGGGCTTGTGTGTATATTATCGAAATAGAAAGTGTGTATGTTTGTGTACATGTGTTCTTCAGTGTGTGCGTGAATGCAAAGCTGCAACAGGACACTGTAACGAGACACCAGGTCTAACATGAATAATCCACGCTGCTTCCATTACATGCTTCACTGCCTGTTTGGACTTCTGGTCCCTACCTACTGCAGCAGTGTGTATCAAATCATACAACAGCGCTCACTGTCGAGCCGAGGAAACACTCATACTTCACCTAAAATATTTTTCAATCTTATTTTAAGACAAGAAAACCCATTTTAGCCAAAAATGTACTGTATAAAGCTTATAGTGTTTCAAGCATTTTCTCATTGCTGTTGCCATCCATTCAGGTACAGTACATAAGACACTGAAGCGCTGAATGTTGCATAATATATACATTTTAATCAGTTGCAATGTGAAGAACCTGACTTATATGCCACTTAAATCATATTTTCATGTGAGTTGTGGTAATTGGAAATTAAATGCTCTCTGCATCTACTGTATACAGTAAGCTACCATTGTTTCCGATTCACTTCTCCAATCCAACCTCTTCTTCTATCAAAACCAGCAAGAAAGTAACAAAAAGCAGGATTCTCTTCCTGCCCTTGTTGATTGCTGCAGCTAGCAAAGGGAAAGTTCACTGACCAGTCTGTAGACTTGCCTAACTGTGACTTTAGTGGTAAATTTCTCAGCGGCTGCAGAGAACACTCACAGCCAGTTAGGGAATACTCTTTTTTCCCCCTCACGACTGGTGGTTGCCAGGTGGGTCTTTTTCAACTGATCCTTTAGCAGCACCACGACTGACAATAAAAATGATTAACACCAAGTGGTCAATGGTCACAGTTCTGCAAAACCTCAAT